GCGCCCGCAGCGCCGTCTCGCCGCGCCGTTTCCCGGCGCGGGGACAGGGCGGGGCGCTCGGTGGCGCCTGGCGCGGGCGGCAGGTTCGTGGGCGGCGGCAGGCACCGGCGCGGGCAGCCCCCTCTCGGCGCCGCGGCGCGCGCCTCGTGCGCCAGGACCCCAGGCAGATGGCGGGGCCCGGCGCCCGTCCCGTTCCGTTCCGCTCCGCTCCCGCTCCCGCCCCCGCCCCGCTCGGTCCCGCCGTGCCCCGGAGATGCTGTCGGGGCTGCGCCGCCGCCTTCCCCCCCCGGAAGCCACCCACGGCGGCACATCCGACGTCGGCCTTTCCGGGAGATGGGGCGCAGGAGGGCGCGGCCGGTCTTCTGCCTCTCCCGCGGCCATCGGGGACTGCAGGCAGGGGAAGAGACAGGCAAGTTTCTCGCCTCAGCGGAGAAACTTGCACCTGCGTGCCGCCGCCAGGAGAAGGGGCGGAGAGAGCGGCAGGCGGCAGGGCCGGGTTCGGATGTGCCCTGCCATTGCACCCCCCCCGCGGGGAGGGTCTGTGCTGCCTCGGGGACCCTGTCTGTGCTGCCAGGAGAGAGAAATCCTTTGGGAAGCTGGGCTGGAAACAGCAACTCTGTGAACTGCTCAGCTTTTCCTAGGTAAGGGCAGGTTTTAGGGAAGAAAGGCCCGCACTTGCCAAAGGCGCCGCGGGTCTTGCAAGGGGGGGGCGCGCGGCTGCAGTGCCGCTCCCGGCCGTGTCCGCCAGGCGGCGACTGCGAGGCCTCGGGGCCCGGCGCTCGCGGGGGGCCCGGCGCTCGGTGAATTTGGGCTTCTGCGGGTGAATTCGGTCCGGTGGTGTGGTTTTTTGTTTGTCTCCGTCCTCGGGACAGTGAAGCAAATGTTCTTTTTCCCCTGGTCGTGGGCGCTCTGAGGAGACCAAAGGTCCAGAATTCTGCCGGTGACTTGGCTTGTGCTGCCAGTCCGATTCCCAGAATTGAACAGGGACGAAGGTTCCTCCCGGCCAAAAGGTGCCAGCGCAGAAAGCTGTTGCTGCCCCGGGAGTGCCCAGGCTGGCCCAGCCCCTGGCAATCTCTTAGTGAAAAGGCAGGGAACGACTGCGCTTGTTCTACCATTTCTTTAGCCGGGTACTAGAACGCAGACAAAACCAAGGTTGTCTTGGACCTGTGCAGGGTCCGAGCATTTGGCAGCCTTCCTTAGCAGGGCATTCTGAAAAGCTTAAAGGCTTTAACATCTGGATACACACCTGCAGCTGTGCAAATTAATGCAGTTTCTTTTAGGAAATGAAGGTTTCCTGTTGCGAGCCTAAATACCGAGTATACTCTGCTTTTTCAATCAGGTGATGAAGCTTCTGGAAAAAAGACAGAATGCGTCGAGGTGAGTACACTCTACTGAGTTCTGCTTTTCTGGGATCAGTTTGGGAAAATCATGGGAAATTCTAGAAAGCTTCTCTCCCTGTTTTCTAGTTGTTTTTTCAGCCTTGGTCTAAGTTTCATGTAGAAAAGGGCATAGCATTAGAACAGATAAACTAGACTTTCTTGGGAGAGATGGAAGAAGAGTCTGCTGATTACAGTTCTGCTTTTCTTGTCTTCCCTTAGACTGTCATTTTCTCTCACCTACTGTTCAAAGAGGCAGCAATTAATTCTTCTTCTGAAGAGTTTGCTGTACTAAATGTCTGTCACATCGATGCCTTCAGCTCAAGATAGCCCATACTTCTTAGTTACAAATTTCTCACAGGAAATTTTCAGGCGTGCCCCTAAATCTCATCACTGTTTGTTTGGGAGAAGAGGGTTTTCTCCTCTGTGACAGAACAGTCATGTCATTTGCTATGGAATGCTGGTGGTAATCTAGTCAGAAGAGGACCCTGTGCTTCACTAATTTTCCCTTTTTGTTGTTGGGGGTGACTTCTTACCAGGTATGTTATTATTGACACACCAGGGCAAATTGAGGTATTCACCTGGTCAGCATCAGGAACCATCATAACTGAGGCCTTGGTAAGTGCTTTTTGTGTGACTGGCCAGTGAAGCTGTGTGTGAGAATGACCTGGGTATTGCTCAGTGTACTCCTCATTAAACTGTCTTTTGCTCTGTGTTCCCAGGCTTCCTCTTTTCCTTCGGTTGTTGTATATGTGATGGACACCTCTCGCAGTACTAACCCTATCACTTTTATGTCCAACATGCTGTATGCCTGCAGGTAAGAAAAGCTGGAAGTGCAGTCCATCTGCTTTGATTGCTGTGTCTCTTTGGTAGTTATTTTGGAGGGGAATCATAGAGTGATTTGGTTTGAAAGGGACCTTTACAGACCACCCTCTCTTCCATGGGCAGGGACACCTTCCACTATGCCAGGTTGCTCCAAGTCCCACCCAGCCTGGCCTGGAACACTTGGGGCAGCCTCAGCTTCCCTGTGCAATGTGCTCAATTATCTCTCCACTGTCATCATGAAAAATTTTGTCAGTATGTCCCTTTCAGTTGAAAATTATCCCTTATCCTATCACTACAAGCCTTGGTAAAAAGGTCTCTCCATTTTTCTTATAAATCCCTTTATTTACTGGAAAGCTGCAGTAAAACTTCCCTGACGTCTTCTCCAGGCAGAACAACCCCAACTCTCTGGCCTGTGTCCATAGGAGAGGCCTTCTAG